AAGTCATGCTAGTTTGTATGGAGGACCAAACCTGCAGAAATTAAAAACGAATAAATATATAGATAAATAAATAAATAAAATGACAGGAAAATAAATAAAGGAATAAATGACTTGATAAAAACAAATATAGTTCATTTGTAATAAAATTTAACCCTGAATTAATTTTCAAGTAATTTATTTCTTTATTTTCCTGTTATTTATTTATTTATTAATTATTTCTGCAGGTTTGGTCCTCCATAAGTTTGGAACAAGATGAGGGTGAGTAAATGATGATAGACGATTAATTTTAGTCTGCTCTATCCCTATAAGTACATACAGCAAGCTGCAGACATGCAGTGCAGTCGCCTGAGCTCATTCACATCTGTGTTTGTGTACTCGCGTACATAGCGTTCCTGGCCTAAGAAAGCATTTTCTTACTTTCCACTCTCTGTCCATCTCTCTTCTGCTGAATCTCATTGTGTTAAGAGCTTTAGGAGCTGCAGGCAGATATACAGCTCTGATCTGCGGACATTTGATCGCTTCATTCGGGCTTGGCCCAGTTAGCAAGTGTTGTTGCTTAGGGAGGCACTTCTGTCAGAACCGGGCTTTCTTTATCATTCGGCTCCTTAAACATCCACTCTTACCTGCCAGCAGCCGAGCAGCCCATTGCCAGAGAGAGAGAAAGAGCCGATGAGAGTTTGGAAGGGTAGTGATTAAAGTCAAGATGAATCCAAACTGAGCCTGTTTACTTTCTTAAAGAGACAGTTCATCATTTACTCATGCAAACGGCTGTGCAAATCTGTAAGCTGTTCTTCCTCCTCCTGGGACATTCAAGGTCACAGTCAAAATAAAAGAATTTGTATTAATTGTTCATTATCACCGCTGTAGTATGAAACAGACTGTCAGTTTTCTGATATAAAATCACTGTCAAATGCTGATAACTCATAAAAGCCTGCTGTGTGTCTGAAAATACTGTTTTGGTCTTTATCCATCTGTTTTGATTTGAATGTCTTTGACTTCTAATTTATAATAATTTTCACGTTATTCAATTCAATTCAATTCAAGTTTATTTGTATAGCGCTTTTCACGATGCCAATCGTTGCAAAGCAGCTTTACAGAAAATAAAAGTTTCTACATTATATTTAGTAATAGCTTATCAGTGGTGACTATCTCAACATCATGGACATCAATGGACATCAAGTCCATTATAGTAATAGCTTATCAGCGGTGACTATCTCAACATCATGGACATCAATGGACATCAAGTCCATTATAGCAAAATTTGGTAGTTTTGTATGTTGTCTGAGGGTTGGCATCATCTGAGGTCTCTGGGGAGGTTGGCATCATCTCTTCTCAGGTGTTCGGTCATCTCAGATCTTTGTAATGTCTGGATCCAGACTGAAGCTTGTGTAATTCCTAGTTACATCCCATGGCAGAAACAGAGAAGGTAATAGAGAGAAATTAGCGTAGCTGCTGTTCCAACTAAGCAAAAAATGATGTGTTCAACCCAAGCAAAATAATGAAAATGTGCATTTGATCAGATGTAACTGAAGTAGGGGCAATTGTTCGTTTGAGTTTTCCCTCTTTTCCTCGGATTTCTTGGTTTTCAAATAGCTTGAAAAAGTGCTGTGCGCGTTTTACTTGCACTTTTAAATTAGCGGCAATTCTGCGTTGATTCAATTCAAGCAACAACGTCAAACTCATAACTTTTATTAACAAAACGAATAAAAATACACCATATATGCCTAATAAAATAACAAATTACTTAGGCTACACAAAATTTAAATAGGTATATAAAACTGAAAATCAGCAAACACGGTGGAACCAAATAAATAAGAAATTAATGTTTAAAAAAACTTCCAATCAATAGGCTTTTCAAAATCTAAAATATTGCCAAACAGGCGCCTTTGCATTTCCTTCCTAAACAATCTTCTGCCATCGTCTTGTCATTCTGAAAATCTCGGAATCGATCCACGAATCGATTCTGAATCGATTTATCGTCCCAGCCCTAATGTAAACCTTGTGTGTTTTGACAGTATTAGCGCAAAAGATAACTTATTCAGTAATCAGGCGCTGTTTGAAAGGCTTTAGTGCGCGTGCTACGGGTGTACAGTACGCGCTTAGAAAAAGTGCTCGTCAGAACAGCACGAGAATGAAACATTTAACCAGTAACTTAACAGACTTTAAAGCACATGCAAATAATGTACTTTTGTGACTGCGAATAGGTGCAGTGTCCTGTGAAAGTAACTCTACCGAGTTAACACTGATGTGAATGTATGTCGCATTGTACAGTATATTGAGATGGATGCACCAGAACAGCAGCTGATAGAATATGTACTGTAGCACGATACTACGATATTTCTTCAAAAGCATATCGTGGAGACATTTTTATCGTCCACAATCAAAAATCGTCATATCGAACACCCCTACCTGGTAAGGACTCTAGCTGCTGTATTTTGGACTACCTGTAGCTTGTTTATTGAAGATGCAGGACAACCACCTAGCAGTGCATTACAATAGTCCAGTCTAGAGGTCATGAATGCATGAACTAGCTTTTCTGCATCAGAAACAGGTAACATGTTCCGTATCTTGGCAATGTTTCTAAGATGGAAGAATGCTGTTTTTGTAACATGGGAAATATGATTTTCAAAAGACAAGTTGCTGTCTAATACAGGTGAATCTCAATAAATTAGAATGTCATGGAAAAGTAAAGACTGAAGTAGTTTAAGTCTTTGGTTCTTTTAATTGTGATGATTTTGGCTCATATTTAACAAAAACCCACCAATTCACTATCTCAACAAATTAGAATATGGTGACATGCCAATCAGCTAATCAACTCAAAACACCTGAATCTACTAGATTCTGTGTACTGTTTTTTGGTCCAATAAGTAATATAAAAACTGAGGGTCTTATCCGAATTTAATAGGAGAAAATTATTGGTCACTTTTACATTTTTAACACTCTGTTAGCTTAGATAATTTAAAAGTTTCATCTGGTTTTGTTGAAATATATAGTTGAGTATCATCAGCATAACAGTGGAAACTAATCCCGTATTTCCCATAGTTCTGACAAATAGGCTAGTTAATGCTAACAATGTCAACGCTATTTATTTGCTGAATCCCAAATAGCATACTTTTATTAAGCACAACAATTGCATTCAGCACTAAACTGTATTAAAAAAAGGAAAATATACTGGCAGTTATCTGCCAGGACATTATCCGTTAATGTTACAGACATTTCTGTTAACCCTGAAACACAATGCAATGTGGAAAATTCAAAATACAGGTAGACCACCTGTAAAATATAAATACAGAAAATTCCTTCATATTATTATTTTGTTTAGATTTATTTATTTATTAATTTTAATCTATTTTAAAAGCGTGTTGGTGAAACTTTTAGCCAGTACACTACATTTATTTTATTTTATTTTATTTTATTTTAATAATTGAAAATTTATTTTATCGTTTTATTATATTTTAAATGTACATTAAAAAAAATTGCATTAAATTTTAATAAATTTTATTTTATCCTTCACAAAACGTGCATTTTTGAACAATTTCTTGTCTAATCTTGTCAATATTTTGAAGTCACACAATAACATAAAGTGATGATAAACCACAAACCATTTTGTTCATTCATTTAATTTATGAAAGAAGAAGCAACAGCTGTTTGGTGAATTAATTGTTCGAGTCTGATCTTTTTAGTAAATCAGTTGATCCAGTTCACAGAGTGATTGGTTCACGATCTAGTTTCTGGAGTTCAACTAGATGCCAGTCAGTGTATGGGGAAAAAACAGAAAAACTGGAATGCGCACTCTTAAGAAATAATATATTTATTTTGAAACTAATAATTATTAAATGCTAATAGAATAGCTGGGTTCAGTCATTCTTATCAATTAAATAAGAATGCTTAGTCAGAAACACACACACACACACACACACATGCAGCATTTCTTTTGGGGCTATTCTCAGGCTGTGTAACACAGATAAGGGTTATTTCTGACCCCAGGCCGTGGTTGCAAATCTCTGACCATTAGGCAAGAGCAGATAAAACTGTTATAGGGTTTGTCTGACACTGCTGAAATTCCCCTGTAATTTTCTCCATTAGTTTCCCAAACACTGAATGTTAAAACACCTCATGACTGCAGATGTGCTCTAGTAGATATTACGCTTTTTATGAAATGTCACACTGTCTGTAAAACCAGTATATGAATATAGAGCGGTAATATAGTCCGTTTTCAGATCGCTCACTGGAATAATTTAAATATAAGACCCAATGAAATGACTCGGTGAACATGGTTCTGTTTAATGTGTTGACATATTACCTCAAAACAAGAAGATGGAGTGCATTAGATGACCTTAAAGCTAATGGACATGCACTAAAAGCAATGCAACTCCAATTTTGATTTCACTGAAATCTTTAACGTTGTAATTTGGAAGCCTTTACTTCTAAAAAAAATAATAAATAAAATAAAAATAAAAATAAAACACATGGGAAGTTCTTAAAAAGTGTAGGTTTGATAGCTCCTGAGACATACAAGGTCGCAGTAAAAATAAAATCAGTTTGATTAATTGTGAATTATCACCCCTGCAGTATGAAACAGACTGTCAGTTTTCTGATACCGAATCACTGTCAAATGTTTATTTTATTTTTATTTTTTTATTGTCACCTTGTCAACTCCCGGACAGCTGGAAAAAAAAACAAGCACTGTCATTTAATTTTATTTTTTAATTTAATTGATTTAATTTAATTATAGTTGCCTTGTCAACTCCTGAACAGCTGGAAACAAATAATCATTTTATTTTATTTTAGTTTAGTTTAGTTTAGTTTAGTAATCTTGTCATCTCCTAGACGGCTGGAAAAAATAAGTGCTGTCATTCCAATTTTATCACATTTCTGTTTTGTTTTGTTGCCACACACTATATAGGACCGATAGTATGTGAATTGGGATTTAGCCATTATGTGACGGTAATTATTGCACATTTGCATTGCTGTTAACCAGTTCTCTCTGTGTCTAACAGGATGATGCACTGGGCAGGTCGCATAGAGAAGGAACTGGAGAAGGTGCTGCAGCTCGTCACCGGAGTTCAGCAAATGAAAGGAGTAAGTTTAACCTCTTTAACTTGTTTTACACTGTACTGCCGTGCTAGATGGAAAAATATTGTGTAGTTTCAGAGCTTTAGGGCAAAGGCGCCTCTCTTCAGTATCAGTGTGGAAGCGACCATAATATTCGTACTGTATTATTTACCTTTGTTGTGGTGCCTTAGGAGGAAGCATTAACTTGTTTCTGATGTTATGATAACAGTGGTTGCATAAGATGATTACAGTAATAGCAGTGTTTCTTTGTGGTCGTTTCAACAGTGACATTTCATAACAATCATTTTCTGTTGACAGCGGTCACACAGTCTTGGGCACTAAGCAATAATTTCACAGTAGTTTCTGAAAGCCTAAAGTACTATATATGTTGTATTGTATACAATATTTCACATGTATGTTTCACTTTTTAAATTAGTATTCTGTATTATTTGTGAAATTGTGAATTTGTTAATATTTAAATAGACCAGGAAAATACATTGTTGTTTTTAATGCATTTTTTCTATTACAAATTAGATTATGATCTAATAATACATAAAAATGAAAAAAAAAAAAGTTGAATAGTTGAATCATTATCACTGTCTGATAATAATAATGATAATCAAAATAAAATAATAATAGTGTAATTTGAGACAGTGATAATGTCTTAAACAGTGAGACATAATATAAACAATAATATGTGAGAATAATAATAAAATATAATAAATACAAATATGTAATATATATATATATATATATATATAAAGTATAAAATATTTCAGATTTTATATTTCACATGTCTGTTTTCCATGTTAAATGAGTATTCGGTATAATTTGTTAAATTGCATGAAATAATTTGTCAGTATTTAAAAAGTCTGAGACCATGAAAATGCATTTTTTTTTATTTGAGTGAAAAGAAGCATTTAA